AGGTTGAAAGGTATAAGCTTGCCCTTACAGAAACGAGGACTTAAAAGGCAGATCCTCCCTCTGCTGCAGGAGCCCTTGATTTGTCCGTTAGAAAAAATATATAATGATAATAAATCAAATCAGGGGAATAATGACACTCCCCATAGGCTGGGCTGTCGCACATAAGGTGGAATTAGGAAATTGCTAATCAGGGAATTTGCATTTTAATTCAAAGACAGATTTATAGCACAAAGGTGCAATCAAAGGCAGACAGGACTGGGGATCACAGCGATGCAAAACTCAGGAAAAGATGAGATGAAAGAGGGCAGATTAAATCAGTTTTTAAAGCCATATTAAAAGGTATTACCTCCACACTGAGACTAATGAGGAAGGAAAAGTAGGTAATTTAATTAAAATTCAAGAGAAGCTGCTTGAGAGCCTTTTACCCCTGTGCTGGCACATCAAAAGACAGAAACCTGTTTTTTTTAAAGGTAATTCCATTTATTTTAGGTAACTCTCAAAAGGTACAATTAAAAATCTATTTCATGTAGCCCTTTCCCGAATGAGCATTTAGAGGCATTACGGCCGTGATGACATCAGCGCGTTCCACAGCAGAGCTGAAGGCAGACAGGCTGATCACGGCCAAACCAGGTCCAGTAGGGGGCGCTCCGCGTTACGCCCTCCTCACAAGGTGAGGCTGACCTCAGCAGCTCGGCCTCCGGTTGGGAATTCGCATGACGGAGCCCACGGCTGGAGACACGGCGACTCTGTGTTTTTGACGTGATGCAGCAGGTTTCAGAGGTTAAGGGCTGGTAATCTGATGGGTGCCGGTTCTGCTCCCTGAAGGGGCTCTTCTCTAGTGCCCTTGACCGAAGTACTTAACCTGAATTATTCCAGTGAAATTCCAATCTGATTTGGATAAAAGAGAGTCTAAGCACAATACGGGCAAATTTAAAGCCCACACATCTCCAACCCTGATATGAATACTTTGACGTTTAAAAAAACACTAATCCTGAAGACTAATACAATATTATATATATATATATATGTATAATATTATTCCAAAATGAGATTCAATGAGATTCTGCAGCTTATTCCCTATAAAGAAAGCAGGCGCCACTCACATCAACATATCACTCTTAAGCTTGATTTCCTCTGAAAATACTGCAGCTCTAAAGTTCAAGATCCTTTAAGATGATACAGTCATAAAAAACACAGCTCATTCAGAAGGGAAGAGGCACAAACCCACAACTGCAATACATACACCTTCCCACAATGCCTTTTGTAAGCAAAGAAACTAGGTTTGATTAACAAGGATTTCCTTCTTTGCCTTTTCATACCATAATTTTGTTTATTTAAGGTTAGAGGTTACAGTGTCTCAGTAAAATATTAACTTATGAGCAGTCTTCCATTTTAGTCTATTTGCTTAGTTGGTTTACATACTACAACTGTGTATAACCAATTACCCTCAAGAGGACGTTATCGCATTTTCAAAGGTAACATACCATCTACTCATCCAGGCAGAACTTCCCTGTGATTCACTTTATCCCCAGAACAAGAGTGACTTCAGCCCTTAGCCACTGCCTGCTAAGGAGGAAGGTAAATTCATTCAGTGATTTGTTGACAGTGTTTCCAAATGCCGCTCCAGGATTACCCACAATGCAACCCATCTCAACGAGGCAGACGGGTGGGAGGAAGCAGCTTTGGCTGAAACCCCCCAGCGTGAAAAATGTTACCATATGACATGGCTGGTTTCAAAGACACTGTGCGCGCTGAGCAGCCCACCGGGAAAGCCTCACTCATCTCTGCCATCACTGGCTACCGCTTGTCCAGGGAGGACTGAAAGAGGAAGTAACCCGTGTGGCGACTGACGTGGTGGGGGCAGTGGTGGTGGTGGGGGGCACTATTGACCGTGCTGTGGAGCTTGTTCTAGATCCATAGCTGTTTCCATCCAAACCGGCTTATGGTTTTCAGGCAGTTTCTACAGCTGGATATTCAGCTCAGGCCAAGAAACCTCCTGGGCTTTGAACCAGCAGTGTTGGAATTAAAGAGCCAACCTTCTTAACTACAGCACTAAGTGCCACCCAGTGTTTAGTCACAGGGCGCGATGGGTAATGGGTTTGTGCTCAAGAGTACGGAATAATTACACACCTGATTTAATTATAAAAAACGTACCTGTTGTGAAATACTCTTTTAAAGTAAATTTAAGGATTATAAATACTACTTTTCGTATACAGGGACTAAGGGTGAGTAGTGGTCAAAATTACAACAGGCTGGTTTTGGCCACTCTCTCCCCAGCATGCAATTAGGCCCTTTCAAAGAGCACAAGGGGGCTCCCTGTAAAGCCGGCAGCATGCATGGGGAGGGCACAATGCTGAAATTTTGGGTCGGGGGGCCTCAGACGTAAGGATTAAACCCAGACCTGGGGCATTACCTCCTGTTCATCAGCAATGCTGCACCAATGGGATTTAATGTTACAGTTAAAAACTTGAAACCAGATTTGTGGGTCAGAGAGAGGCTCTGGGGGAATCCCTTCCATGCAAGCCTCTCACGGCCGGTAAGCAGTCCGGGCATCACGGCGACAGAGAGGCAGCCTGCACGTATGGGAGAGGGGACAGAGGACACAGCACACAGCATCCGGGGAAGCATGGATGGAGAGTTCTTTGTTCCTACCTAAGCTTTGGAGGGACAATAAAGTGCCCTTCAGTGGTAAGGAGCGCTGTTGGGTTTGGGAGGTGGAATGCGTGCTCCTTGACGGAGTTTCAAGAAAAGGTTCATCTTGCAAAACTGCCTTTTGCTGTAGTTAGACTCACTGGGGAAACATTCAACCCTCCTGTGAGGACAGTTTGCATGTAAGCTGACAGGTAAAGAGTCACTCATTTATATATTTGTATTTACTTTGGCACATGTTCATAATCCTGGCTGACGGATATTTGGGCCCCTCTTGGGCCTAAACTCTGTCTCTGGTGGGCTTTGGGGGGGGGGGGGGGCTCTCTGATCTGACCCACAGCCCTGCTTCCAAGTCAAGCAGTAAATCTCGGGAAATGAAAAGCGGCCCACTCTGTCGCAGGTGTGTGAAAACACAGCTCAGAGCAGGATGAGAGGCACACAGGGCAAGGGGGGACATGCTGAATCCATCCAGCTCAAATCAGCACCATATGCTCTCCAGAGCCTTATTATACTATAAATGAACTTTATTGAAGCAACAAAGTGTTTCAACTCTGCAAAGCGAGCTGCGGAGGCCAGGAGATGCCCCACACGCCCCAACTCTCACCCCCAAAGGACTAATGAGGGGCCAGGCGGTGCCCCGTCCATGTGCTGCCTAATGGCCCATTACTGACAGGGGGGTGGCACACGAGGGGGGGGGCAACAGCGAGCGAAAACAAGGGGGTGACAAGCGAGAGAAGCATTCTGAGGACCCATGTCCAAAGTCATGCGTGTTAAGTCCCGCTCTCAGGATGTTGTGTTATTGTACGAGGGCAGAATTACAGAGGTAAGAAACCGCATAAAAGCATTGGGGGGGGGCAGGGGGGGTTCTGTAAGGGGGCTGTGAAGCAGCATCACAGCCCTGTGATTCTACACGGGATGATTAACGCTTTGAGAAAAACCAAGACGTGCATCTGTTCCTTGTTATAGCTCTGGAAATCAGATTAAAGGAAAATCTCTTAACAGATTGAATTGTATTTACCATAATTGCTGAGAACAGCTTATACAGAGCAGACCACAAATAACAGAGTAATAAAATTCAGGAAGGTGGGGCTTTTTATTTAAACAAAACCCAAGCATTCTGAATCTGTCCAGTGAAAAGCGAGACCTGAGGCAGCCTAATCAGCTCCGCCGGCAGGGAGGACGGCTCAGCCTGACGTCAGCTCCGGCATGGCATGTAAGCTTTTGTTAGTATGTTTAAACAGCTTTACTCCAGCTGTCTCTGCTATTAGACACACAGCTTCTACCACAAGGTTTTCATTGACTGATACATAAATATATATTACTACTACATTTTTTTTTTTTTACTATTTAAACACCTAATTACAAAGGGGTCACCCTGGGAACCAGCAATGAAATTGGCCAAACTCCCTCACAGGTAGTCAAATAAGGGATTCATTCCCATGCATATTCTGACCTGATGTCTCCTACATCTTCCTGCATTTTTTAGGAAAACGATGTTTGAATACCTTGGATCTGAAGGATTTGAAAACATAATAATAAAATGACACAAAGAGCAAGTAGCACAAATCAATAAATGTTGAGAAAATACCTTGGCGCTGGATCTGGCTCATTCCTCTTTTGATGGAATTTAAAATAGAACCACATGCAAGCACAGAACCGGGGGACCGTGTGCTCCACATGACCCGTCACATGAGAGCGAGAATGCGAAGCTGGCCGCAAGCTGAGCCCGACTTTGTTTCCCATACCCAGTCACAGATTTCAGAGTCCCTGCATCCGCATTCGCTCAGAACCCTCTTTCAACACATTTCATGGGTATATTTTTTGCAGATTTATTCTCTGAAAACACCTATTAATATGACTGGATGTTTCTTGAATCTAGGTATGGTGCTCAGCAAGAACCCCAGGAAGTTGGCCGTTTCTGATTCGCTGATGACACCAGCGAGCACAGCATAGTTGAATTCATGTTTATCGTCGTTAGCTGTGAATGCCAAGATTTTGCTGCTATTTCATTCCACGTATCCATAGTTACCATAGTCACTTGACAAAAGGACAAAAAAAACTCAAATTCACAATAATTATGGTGTAAACAGTTTATATGGGGGAGAAACTCCACTTGAAGAGCTAAAACGGCCCGTTTCCCTTTCAGTGCGTGACGATTAAGGATTAACATGAGCAGAAGATGCATGCGAGTCCCTTCGTTTGCCAAGGTCACAAGTGAATGTGACGCCACGTAGGTGCTTCTCATCTATGTAATTTCCCTTCACTGTCCCCCAGCTTCATAGTCATAAATCGGCTATGAATGACAAAACTGCAGAAACTAAAATGTTTATGCATGAAACAGAGAGACACTGTTGTAAAACAGGCACTTTTATTAAAATCAGTACTAACAACTGGCAAAAAAAGAAAATCAAAAAAAAAAGTAGCCCTTGCTAGGAACGCATATTGTCAAGATGTTTGGATACTTTAAACTTGGGTTCAATAGTAAATATACTGAATAATTCAATTACTGATAAAGTGGATCTGGTTAGGAGAAAAAAAAATGGCAAAATGTATATTAAGTTCAACATGGCTGTAGAACTGCAGTAACAATTTTATTAATATTAAGTTTCTTGAAATCACCCTTATATTAGCATATTAAAAATCTTTCACATTTTACACAGACCTCTTCCACACTTATTTTAGTAGTGTTTTAAACAGCAATATTAATAGGGATGCAGACACTTCCCACAGTGTGACACTAGGGGGCAGACTTATCAAGCATTTGCTTCACTGCAACATCCTCGCCTGTTTTTTTAATTAAACATACATTTAAAATTTAAACAAAAATCAGCACTGGATTTACAACATCCATGAAAGCAAAATGAAAAAGGCTTTTTAGAAAAAAAACTGAGAATGGAGGTGTAAATCCTGCACCTGTGACACAGCTTGATAAATACGGCCTGCAGCATCATGTCAGCAGACTCCAGTCCTGCTCAATGCGTGTTTATTAATCAAAAGTATTACAAAGCAATTATCGAAAAATATATATATATATATATCTGTTAAAATGCACAAAAGTCATATTGAATCTCAAATCCATTATAAACTAGAAAATTAAAAGCTAGTAAAAATTACACAGGTAACTTGGCCAGCCAAGCCACACCACAAGGGGGCAGTCTCGCTACAACCAGAGGCAGTGCAGTGTACAGTGCTGCCACGGGAACGCTGGGAGGACACTAACCCCCACCCCTCGAGGAAGGCACACTCTTAGCTTTCAGTGAGCCAGATACAGTATAACATACCCAGAGGCTCAGCAAAGTTCACAGAAAGAAGGCACTAGCTTCAGCGGGGGAATGAATATTACAGCCCAGTCACCCAGAGGGTGCTGGAGGTTCGGTAAATACAGGTATCAGATTATATTACCAGCACAGCAGTGACCGGAGACTCCATGAGGCTGACCTACCTTACCTCTGTATTGTATGAATACAGACCTAGCCAGACTGGGCAGTGAACCCAAACTGCAGCCAAGACTTCAGATCACAGACATTCAGAGGAAAACAAGTTCAGTTCCTTTCAGTCAGAAGCACTTAAGGCAAAAATTATTTATACTTTGAAATCACAAAGTCAAACTCCTGACGGTCTGGCTCGTTACAAGTTTTTGTCCAGCGCCACTTTAAAAAAAACAAAAAAAAAAAAACAAAAGTTCTTATTAAATCCGTATAAAGTGGCCTGCTAGTTATGAAATGAAAGCTTAGATGTAAAAGGAATCTTTAGATAAACAGGAAATGGAAGTTAGTGGAGAGAACAGCCTAATTCGAGCTCATTTAGCCTCTCAGCACGCAGCATATGAGCCTCGGTCATAGGCGTCAGATTTCGGTTCACCTGAACCATTCCGAGTGGCCGGCGAGGCGCTTCGGGCGCAAAAGGGGGAGGGGCATGAATGAGTTTCGGCTTGTCACCAGCGCTCAGGGAAGTGCCTCTTGAGCAGAGCAATCAGCAGACGAACTGCTGCCTCATGCGGATGATCTGGAGCAGCGCCGCCTGGACATCCGCATCCATGTGGCCCTATGGAGAGAGAGCGGCTATTAGGCCGAGCCGACAGACCGCGCCCACCAGCGCCATTTCAGGGTCCTGCTGCAAAGCTGGCGGCCATTAGCCGCCTTTAACGGCAGAGAGCTCGCCGATGTCATACCTGCGCCGCACTTAGGAGATGAGTTCTGTATATCGATACCACTTCCCTGTGCTGCCTCTCGGCATCCTGGGTGGAGAGAGGAGACAAAGCAGCAGAGGACTCAGCCCTCAGGGGACTAAGCAGAGGCAGCACACGATAGCTCTACATCGCCCCCATCTGGCAGGTCTGGTACATTCCCTGACCTTGCTCATGATCAAAGCATAAAAACAGAAAATTCTACAAAGCATCGCAATCCATACTTTGACAGTTTCGTAGAATGTCTGGCAAAGTTAAGTCACTTTTGGGACTACACGCAGCTTACTGAGGGGACCGGACTGGATGCAACATTAAGTCAAGCGCCAAAGAGAGGTGAGAGCCTCACTCCATAGAAACCCACAAGGGACCATGTCTCCCAGATGGGAAACATCTCCTAAGTATCACTGATTTTCATTTAAATGTAAGCATACTGCATTACAAGCTCAAACATAGCACTTTAATTATATATGCTGCTGTAACAGCACTTCAAGGCTGCGTGTGCACAAGTCAGGCCAGCTGAGGGCAGCTCCTGCAGGAAGCCCGCTGGAGAGGAAGGCAGCTGTCTGGGCGCAGCCTCCTCACGTGACCCCAGCAAACAGCAGAAAGCAGGAATGCCCCCCCAGAGCCTTCCACACAGTGGACCAGAATGAAATGTTCTGCACCGTTTCCTCCCTTTTTTGCAAAAATGACTTTTTCTTGAGGTGAGAACACCGTTAATTGGCAGCAGGAACTTTCCCCAAAGCACATTCCAAGGGCCAATCAAGCAGCACCATTTCTTTTCTAACATCAGCTGTTTGCTGCATCGTATTTCAGATTGTCAAAGAGAATAACAAATGCAACTGACAGCAGCCTCATGCGGTTCATACAAAATACATAAAAAAACCACATTAAAAATACATATAAGCTTATCATTGTGTTCTCTATATACATATCACACCCAATTATACCAAGGGCAGAAGGAGCAGGATGATGAATCCAACCATTTGTACGGAAGGAGCATCCACCCTCTACCCCAACTGAAAACTGATATTCCAAGGAAACATTTACATCTATATCCCAAAGCAACTCCCCCAGGAGAGCTCCCCCCCCCCAATCGCACTGGCCTTCCCAGTGAGCAGCACACTCACAGCCAGCTGCTGCTGCAGGCCTTTGACCTGGGCCTGGAGTGTGTCCACGTGCTGCGTCTGCCTCTTGTTGGGAGTGCTGCCCGCGTAGGCCAGCTGGGAGAGCCCGTTCAGGGCCTGCTTCAGCCGCTCCACGTCTGTCAGCAGCTCTGTGATCTGAAAACACGCATGCAGCTCTTGGTGGCCAGAGCAGCGGGCAAGGCGGCGGAGACTGCATCCGAAAGCGAAACTTAGTCCTGGACATTAAACCAGGACTAAGCAAAAGCTACAGCAACCTGGAAAACTTCCTAAAGAGCAGTATCTGAGGGACAAAAGTTCTGGTATTTTTTATTTGTGGTATTTGTGTGGAGTACTACACAACATGGTACCTAGCTACAACTCTGTGGTCATTTCATATAAAAGGGGGAAAAAAAAGGCTACCTTCTTATCTTTCATTTCTGTTTGCTCTGAGGACATCTGGATTCTCTTCTGCAGGTCTTCTATAGTGCTGAGGGAGTCGTCGTACCTCTTCTTCAGCTCTTTGATCTCGTTCTCGATGGACATGCTCTTAGCCTGAAAGGCCTCCGTCTCAGACCTCGCCCTGCTCTCCCCCTCCTTAGCCTGAACAGCTTCTCTGTACAAGTCCTCACACTGCCTCGTCAAACTCGACAGCCGCTCCTCCAAGCCCACAGCCTTCTCCTCAAACCTACGCTTCTCGGCATGGACTACAGCCATCTCGTTGGTGCCCTGGCTCTGGAGCTCCTCTAGGCCCTGTGTGGCCCTGAGCAACTCACCCTGGAGGGAGGACACATCATTAGCTTTCTGTGCAGCGCTCTCCTGCTCCTCACGCAGGGTCAGCTTGAGGTTGGCCACCTCTTGCTGCAGGGCCTCCTTACAGGTACGGAGCTCTGTAAGTAGGGCGGTGTCGTGGCTGTGGGCTTTCATTTCCTCTTCCAGGGCGTCCGCCCTGCCCGTTTCGTGCCGATAGGCCTCGGACACACGCTCGCATTCTTGCTGCGCCTGCTGCAGGGTGCCACACAACGACTGCTGCATGGCCTCAAACTTCTCCGAAGGCACGTACTCAGTGTCCATCTTGCGCTGCAGGGCTTGGATCGCAGCATCTCTCTGAGCAGTCTGCTCCTCCAGCTTGTTCTTCTGCATCGTTACATCCTGGTGCTGCTGCTGCATATCCTGCAGCGCTTGGCTCAGCTCCTTCATCCTGCCCTCCACCTCCTGGTACTTTTCAGTGGGAACAAATCCCATCTCAAGCCTCCCCTGCACAGACTTCATCTCTACTTGCAGCTTCTCCTTCTCCTGCTTGTGACATTCTCCCTCCTTCTCCACATGGCTGTATCTCTCCCGCATCTCTTCCAGCTGTTCAGTTAAGTCCTTCAAGGTGGACCTGAAGGACTTCTCTTTTTCCTCAATGACAGTCTTCGAGACAAACTTTGACTGAATGGCCTCCTGAATCATATCCAGCTCTCTCTTTTGCTCCTCCATCTCTTTATGAAGCCTTTCGATCTCCTCCTGTGCAGACTGGTATTTCACCTGTGCCTCCTTTGCCCTGTGCTCTGCCTCAGAGACCTCACCAGCCAACCTGCTCCTCATTCCCTCATAATCTTTAAAACTGACATAATCCTTTTCTAGTGTAGTCTGGGCACCCTGCAGCTTTTTGCTCAACATTTCACTTCTCTCCTTCACCTGTCGCAGCTCTTCCTCTCCTTCCTTGACCCGTTTCTCCAAATCACAGCTTCTTGCCTTCATTTCACCCAAAGCAGTGCTCAGTTCAGCTTTCACCCTCTCGTGCTCAGCCCTTGGCACATACTCCCCCTCCAATCTCTGCTTCAGGAACGCGTAGTCAGCCACCACCTTCTCCAGCTCTTTCTCCTTATCCTGACACTTTGTTCGAACCTCTGCCAGCTCCATCTCTATGTCTTCCTTTCGAGACATCAGGCTGCCAACTTCCTGATTGAACTTCTCCCGGGGGACATATTGGCTCTGTAGATTGTTGACGTTCTCACACAGTGTTGACCTCTCAAATTCCAGTTTCTGAAGCTCCGCTTCATCACGGCTTCTCTTCTGCTCCCCTTCCGCCAGCTGCCTGTTCAAGTCTTCTATGGTGTGGTTCAAAGATCTCTTCATATCCTCATGGGACTTGAGGGACACGAACTGCACCTGCATCTTCTTGGTCAGATCCTGAACACGCCCCCTGAGGATTCCCTTCTCCTTCTCCCCTTCCTCTACCTCCCGGATAAGTGCCTGACTCTTGGAGGTCACATCTGCCAGCTTCTTCTTCAAAGCCACGTTCTGATCCTCCAGCGTGGCCCTCACCTTCTCGTGCTCCTGCAGAAGGATGGTCCTCTCAGCATTGGTCTTCTGACCATCCAGCTCCCGGTGCAGCTCTGCCACTTCCTCCAGCACGCGGTCGTAATCCTCCCTCAGCTCCACCAACTGCTTCCCCTTCTCATCCACCGCAATAGTGAGAAGATTCTTCATGTTGTCAAACTTCTCTCCCAAAACCATGGATGCCTGCCTGACTTCCATCTCCTTCATCAGGGACTCCATGTCCATCAATGTCAAGGTCATCTCTTCTCGCTCCACCTTGGATTTCTCCAACTCCTTTGTGAGTTTCTCAGTCTCGTCGGCCAGCAGGCCCTCGCTCTTCTTGTACTCCTCCAAGGCCTTCTCGCTCTGCTTGAGATGGTTGCGAAGCCGGCCGACCTCCGTGGATGCCCCTTCATACTTGCCTTTGACATCCTTAAGTTGGACCCTTAGGTCCTCTACCACCTGGCTGTTCAGGTGCTCCTTCATAGCCACCACGTGCGTCTGCAGCTGCTTCACCTTAGCCTCAGAATCCAGCATGCGCTTCTGCACGTCGCTCAGGGCCTGCTCCAGCTCCTGCACCTGCCGCTCCGAGTTTCGCTTCTCCACATCGCGGTCTCGCGCCAGCTCCTCAAACTCCCTGCTCTTGCAGTCAAGCGCCGCCCGTAGACGAGAGACTTCCTGTTCTACAGACTCCTGCTTCTTTCTGGCCGCCACCAGGTCCTCCCTCAAAGACTCCACCTCTCCTCCTGGGACTGCCCCCGACTGCAAGAAGTCCAGTGGCCGCGACAAGGAGTGCAGCGGCGCAGGGGATTGTAGGATCTGCAGCGGGAAATGGAACAGTCATCAGACGTGAACAACAACTTGCACAAACACACAACTGCCGAGGCTTCATGCAAGCAGGTCAGGGCGTCTTAAGCTTATCAAATCATTTAAGTCCATGAACGTGTGCTGAACTAGCAGAGAAAACTCGCTTCAATTTAAAAAGTCCAAACAGTCAAAATACCCATGCAGATTAAGCTTAGTTAATAATCAGAAATTTCTCATTTCATGGGGGCAAAACAGCTAATGCTGGAAAACAATTCCAGTCATATATCCAAGACAGCGGAGGTCAGGGAAACACAGAATGTTAAGAAGCCAGCTGATGAGAGCAATTATTCACGCAAACTTAATGCGAGAACATGCCACACTTAGGTCAGTGTTATGGGCAAAAGTGAACAAGACTGAGGCGTCATTCGACAGTTTCTCTCCATCATTCAGCCTGTTCGACACACGTTTTCTAGACTAACAGAAGTTGTATTAATACCTGTCCAGAATCCAGACTGTGAGATTGCTTCACAAGCATGTCTTTCCCTGAGGAAGAATTGGGAGGGAAAAAAAAACAGGTTCATATCAATTATGTCTGACTGTTAAAACACCTAATATTGTATTTTTTAAAGACACACTTCTCTTACCTTTTATCACAGATTGGCCAGAGTAGTCTCCCTGTAATTGAACGTGAAAATTAATTACACACATCTACTCAGTTACTAATCATTCTGTACTATTAAATCATTTATGATATTATGATCTACATGGAAGTACTTGGAACTGCATTATATTCACAGTGGAGGAATTCCCGCGCACAATCAACAACAGGCAGGATTAACCCAAAGGAAGGCAATAATCGAAGGACCAACCACCATGAAGTGAAGCCAGGCAGATAGCGATTGACAGCACACAGTAGGGCTTCAGGCTTCTACCATGACTATCAATTATCTCTTGGCACAGAGCCACGGCACCACACAACGCCGTTTTAAAGTCACGTGAGAACCTCGGACACACAGCCATCCGTCCCCTCAGGACTCCCGCTGCCCCCCGGCCTGTTTGTGGGCTGCTCACAGTCACCGATATGCCAGACCCTGGACTCACCAAGCGGCTCTTCAGCTGGACCTTAACGGTGTCCCCACTCCTGGAGCCCTCGTCCTTCTCACGACCTAACAAAGTCAGCTTCAGCTCGTCCCTCTGGAACAAAGCAGGAGGGCGGCTACAGGCTAGCACAGATTTCCTGGGCTCATGAGAAAATTAAACCAAACTCCACTACAGCCTCATCTCACATATGCTGCGTGTAGATGACAGGAAGTACTGCTACAATGGCACATTTACAGAGTACTTATACTGAGTAGGCTAATATTAATCAATGGGATATAACATTACATCCCAAAGAGAGGGAACTGACCCTCTGTGTAAGCTCCGGAAAGACGGCATTCCAATGGCTGCATTAGGGAATCGCATATATTACTGCACCATCTATCAAAATACAAGCTGGTATTTCAGCGTCATTTGTTCCCACATATTAAAAAATATGAGGAATATGCCATACGCATAACTCCGCGTACATAAGACACCTCCCATTTTAAAATGTGACCAATGAGCACCTCACATAACACATCAACAAACTAATTCTGGTGATCACACAAGAAACGGTCTTACCTCTTTTTTCAAGTCTTCCATGGCTGTCTTCTCCTGCAAGAGAGCAAATATCTCCTCACTTTAAGTCTTCACGTTCAGCGGGAGCGAGAGCCACCTGCTGACTCCAAGCGGCCGGCCTCATGAGTGCCGTCTATTGGGAGGGGCACCCACCTGGCTTTGCTGCTGCTGCAGCAGGTTCACTTTGTCCAGCAGAGCCTTCTGTTCCTGGAGGAACTTCCTCTCCAGGTCCTACGACAGACCAGTCAGATTCAGCAACAGGGGCACTAACAAGATGTCAACCAAGCTTAATAAGTGCGGCATTATAGAAGCATATCAATATATTGATTATATTATTGTTCTGCAATTTAGAAGCTAATAAATATATTAATCGCATTACTGTACTAAACCAAAAAAATAAATAAAAAATGTTTTGGGCAATTGATTAACAAGACTGGCAAGTGCCAGATAATGTCTCTGGGACAAGCAGGCCAGTAAAGATGCTCTATAAAAATAAACTCAATTGAAATCCAATAGACGAGTGGAAAACAAACTCTTCACAGGAGCATAAAAGACGGGTTGCACTCACACGTATAATCTGATCCCTGATGCTGCCTTCTGCTTCTGCAGTCATCTCCATTGACAGCTGCAGAAGTAATCACGCTGTCACGCATTTCATATCACAGCAACGTCAAGCACGCACATCACCAGAAACCAGAGACGGCAATTCATCTGACTGAACACTAGGGGGCACTCACTGCAATGGAGCAGAACAAAAAGCCAGCTTCTTTGCCAAACAAACAGCATTGCATCATGTTCTAAATGAAAGGGGTTATTCAAGTTCATCAGCCCCCAACTGCGATTTGCCATGTTGAACCTCACTGACCCATTCTGACCCTAATTAAATGGTGGAAACAAGAGACTGACAGCGTGAGCTTAACGGCATCTGACAAAGCACAGAAGCAGCGTACAGCTCGTGGGGGAGGAGCTCTGGAAAGTCCACTGATGAGGCACTTTGGGATAAACGGTCAGTGAAGAGGCTCACTGTCAGTCTCGCCGAGCGTCGCACAGACTGGGCACGGCCAAGTCACCACCTAATGTCACGCCCTTAACGTTCTTCCTTCCTCAGGAGACATAAAAGGGCAGCTAAAGCAGAGCTTTCTCAGGTAGCAGCTGGGCTACAGGTGTAAGTGTCATGAGCGAAGACCTCCGTAAGCGATACCCGCACATGATCCAGCATCGTCACAAATCAAACAGGCGAACAAAATATTTACATCCCTGCAATGTGCTCAATGCCAGCATGAAACACCCCCCCCACCAGCATCTGTTAAAGGCATTAGCACTCACCCGTCGAAGTTTCTCCATCTTTGCAGCTTTAGCTGTTTACAGGACACACACAAAATAGAAAGTTAGTCTTCTGCCATTTCAAACTGAAAATTTCAATTCTTATTCCCCCAACTTTAGGTAAACCTCCCATTCAAATCTATCACTGCTAAAGCTAATGACGCTAAGTCATAGGTGCGGACGATGACAAAACAAGATGTATATGCACAGAAAAGGTGCGGGACGGCGCAAGCTACCTCTGAGCCATGTAGCATTGCTTCATGTACTGGATCGAGAAATCAGCAAAAACAAACACAAACGTGGAAAACCTGTGCTTACAGAACAGGACCCCACAGCACCACAAAAGGCAAACCTCTAAAGTGAACAGCCACGGCAGTCATAACCGTCGTCAGCTGTCATCAAGGAAGAATTTCTACTACAGCTCGTTACTGCCGTGGGCAATGAAGCCAGGACAGAGGGCTCCGGGTGTCAGAAGAGCCATTTGGCTGATGTGTCATTTTCCCTGTTTCTCAGCAATCCTGCTTTTATTATAACCTCCGCAGAAAAAAGGAAACAAAATGTATATTTTGAGGAAGCCCAACTGGATATTTACTTAAGCGCTTAAAAAAGCTAGAGAGCATAACACTGCTGGGCAGACCATAGAACACTGGCAGCTGCATGCAAAACCAGAATAAGAAGCTTCCAGCAAAGCAATAAGAGGATAACAGGCCTGTTTTCTATACATCACATGCTGTGAGAGAACTGTCTGAGAGAGCCGCGTTTATCCTGTCTGACTCAACACCTACATGTTTAATGGAGTCTCTGCCACTTCCCTGGTAATTACATACAAGCGCCAAGCTAAATGCTGCACCCAGTTCAGCCCAGAAGAGGTCACCACTTCCTCCGTGCAGCACTGCACTTTCAAGCTGTCTACTTCACACTGAAAACCAAACATCACTTCTGCCAATCAAACAGGAGTCCATCAGGTGTAATGGTCTGTTTTATGGTAGATTATTATGGTTTATGTGCCAGTGAGGAGTCTGACATATCTGATGAAAGGGCGGATTCCAGCCGTTACCTTTAGCAGCGCTCTCCGTAGCATTTCTGATCAGCGCCACCAGCTCTGGGTTCTTGCAGATGCGAGCATAGTAGAGGCTGTCGTGGCCAAAACAGTCCACGGCCGCCACGTCAGCCCCCGCACGCAGCAGGACATCCACAGCCACCTTACAGGAATGCTCACAGCCCAGGATCAGGGCGGTCCTACAGGCCCAGAGGACAGCCGTCAGCCAGTGAGCCACGAGCGGAACGACGGGAGCGGCTGGCATTGAAGCGCACGACTATAATATTGTTAATTCTAAGAAATTGCTGCTGTATTTTTCATGCGATGAGCCTGACATTCTAGAACACTGACCTATAGAAGTTATCAACAATTACCATCATTCCCGCTGCCCTTCACCTAGAAGCAAACAGCTCAGAAATACAGGGACCTGACAGTGACGCACTGAAGGTGGGAGGCAAGGTGAATGGCTTACTTGTTCTGCTTGTCCCGGATGCCGATGTCTGCACCGCGCTCCAGGAGAAGCTGGCAGATTTGGGGACGGCACATTTGGGTGGCCAGCACCAAGGGGGTACGACCATCCTGCATGCAGACAGCAGGGGATGTCTAACTGAGCTCACACACACAGGGATGCAGGCATAATGTAGGCGCATGACCACCACAGAAACAGAAAGGCTTGGCGCAGGAATGCCAAGACGGCACTCACCAAGTCGCAGGAGTTTACAGCTGCGCCACTGTCACATAGGAGCTTGACGCTGGAGCAGCAGCCGGCCATCACTGAAAACCGGAAAGGGCAACGCAGATATCAGAGCAGTATGCTTCAAGGCAAGGGGCTAGACCTTACTCTGCGGGCTCCTCGACTGCAGAGCCCTGGTCCTGCCGGCACCGCGAGAGGACGCGGCAGCTTCAAGAAGCCGGACTACGGCGCAGATGTGGGCTGGTGCTGCATACCCGCATCGTGCAGAGCTGTTCTCCCCTGCAGGTCCAAGTTCCCCACAGGACAGTTGTGCTGCAGAACATGCGAGGAAAGGAAACAGAGCAGGACGGACATTTTATTGGCCAAAACAGGCTCACAAAAACAAGGAATTTCACATGCTCATATATGCATTAAATGTAATACCACACTTACACAAACATAAAAAACAATACATATCCATTTACTGGATTGAATATGTACTCGCAGCATGATTACTATACATATAAATGAAACATCCCCTCTGAACCACGCGGATCTACATCAAAGGCTTTTCGTCAGAGATGTGTCAAGTTCAGGGGGCCAAACACACACCATAAACCATTAACATTACCTGGACCCACCGCTTCTGTTAAAGGGGTGTGAAATCAAAGGGACTGTACTAGTCAGCAATTCTAAAAAAAGGCCGGACTGTCACTCAGGGATGGGAAGGGAGTGCGACGGCATTCCGGCGAGGAGCACAAACATGTCAGAGTGCAGACAGCGCGTCGTCATGCGGCGAGCGCTCGGGGCCCAGCTGTGACCCCCCTATCCCACTCCCCACGCACGGCCCTATAAAAACCCAACTCTCTCCAGCAACAGGCTCCCGATCAAGGACCACGATCGGGTGACTGGGTGTTAACTGGGAGCTGGGAAAGCCAACACCGAGAGAGGCCCAGGCTGGGTCTGCCCCGCGGAAGGCGACACCCACGGGCAGACATTGCACAGACTGCCAGGCGGTCGCAGAGTCAGGCCTCACATTATCGGTCTGACACGTAAGCAGAGCCCCACGGCTCAGCTGGAAGCCGGAGGGGCAACTGTGCCATGGAAACGCATGGGAAGGCATCACACCACAATCATGCACTCAAACGTATCGTCACACACACGCACCTGGAGCAGCTTCTGCACGCAGAGCGAGTGTCCATTGCGGGCAGCCAAATGAAGGGCATTTTTACCTGAAAGAGAGCAAACAGCAGCTCAGTACAGAAACACCACCACCACAGACAGATATTGATGAGCAGGGTGGTAACGAAGAGGCTCTGCTGTTCATACAGGTGACGCTCACCCAGGCAGGTTGAGAGGAAACGCTACGAAGATTTTATATCATGATTATAGTGACCAAAATTATCACGTTATCAGTATTACTGAGGTCTTGATAAATTGTGCTGGAAATGTTTGAATGGTACGGATACACAAACAAATCATTTCACATTAAAAACTTTTTGTGTGCATAAACATTAAAATAGTAACATAGCAAATACCTTATGTAAACATATAAAATCTACGTCAAATGCGGAGTGCTCCAAGCGCCTGCCACCAGAAACTGACGCGTGACAAACCCACGTTGGATGCTTCCCCTGCATCTGGGAGACTTGGGAAGGTTGCTAACTTTGATTAATGCTGGACAGTATTTAATGTGAGTTTTTCCAAAGAGTGGCAATCGCAGTTTTAATGACAATTACAATCTGAAACGATAATTAAAAAAAAACGTAATAGTAAAAAAACATAAGAACGTAAGAAATTTACAAACGACAGAAGGCCATCATTAATAGTGACGATCAGGAATTTTACCGTGACACTGGTAACCGTTACATTCCTATAGGTAGGATTATCAAAGACAGTTAATCCCCTTAAAAACGCCACTGACTTAATTCACAAGATAAGGTACAACAGGAAGCACCTTCTCCTCATCTTCCCCACCTTCATCTTTCCTCTTACGCAAAATCCCTCAAAACCTCAGTACCAACTTTAAACAACGCAGGTGACTTGGAGAGCTGATGTGTTGCAGAATGGATCATACATTTTACATTAACGGATTAACAGTTTAAAACCAAATTATTTCTGATAAAATCTTAATTGGTTCGAAATGATAGTGTTTTCATACACTTTCCACTAGTGTGTGCGTGGTTCCACTGACCTGGCTGTATGAGTTATGTCACAATGAAAAGCTCCTACCAATAAATAAGTGACATGTATTCACCCTTCAAAGCTACCAGACCCCTAGGGCTAAGCGCGTGATGAGCGCCTCTCACCAGCAGCATCCGTGGCTGTGACGTCGACGCCGTGGCCTAGGATGAGGTTGAGACAGTCCAGGTGCCCTCTGGTGGCCGACAAGTGGAACCTGCAGATAGAGAAGTGAAGACAGGCATGAGTGTCTGCAGGGCATGAGAAAGAGAGACTGAGGGACTACATGTCAGGCCACACTAATGACCGCAAACACATCATTCATCACTGATAAGCAGCCTGCTGGTGGGCAACAGTCTGCGGCCGGTAGACAGTCCCACATCCAGCACAGGCAGCTTTCTTAACAGCTAAATCCCATCCGTACCTCCCGCTGCTTTCCGCTGTCAGCAAGGCCCTAATTACAATGCATTCCCTGAAACCTGCAGGCCTTGCGGCTCTCCAGAAGCAGCTATGACCCCCTGTGCGGCAGACGATCATTCTTTAAACACACTCAATCCAGCTTATTTGGCTAAGCTGCCGATTATCTCGAATACTTAGAGGCGATTTATCTGCAAAGTCTCTCAGTTCCTTAGACAAGAGTGTAGAAACACAAGCAAAGCACGTCCACCCACACACCCCTGCAATAAGACAACTGACAGGTTAATCTATATTAAAAATGCACTTGCATCAGTGCTACTGCAGACACAGAGCTGAACGGAACTTTCCCTGTTGTGACACTACGACCCAGCTGTCTAGCTTGTTGGCTGTCAGGGCATGGTGCGTGAGCACCATAGGATGCAGGACTCTCTCATAACACTCCATTATCCTCGTCTGTGCCAGGTCTGCTATTAGGTTACTCATGTCAGCCCAGCCCCCATGATGTCCCTCGGAGCAGCACACTGCTGAGGTATCACCCAGCAGACATGACAATCCCAGGCCTGATATACCTCATCAGCCCCCTGTAAAATAGGCTGCTACCTGCAAAAGCCCGGCGGGGCGCGGGCTGTTGTTACTGCGGCTTTTTAGTCACATCATGACACTGGATATTTCTTGTCCTGTATCACCAGTAAGTGGTCAAGGTGTTTTTTTGGTAAACATTAAAAATTTATTGTCTGGTGCTGGTGCTGCCATGAGTTGTACCAACAGACACCGAGCAGCAATCACACGCTTTTGCTCAATATTGTCTCTATAGAATCCAAAAAACTCTCATTCAGCAGAAGACGAATGCCTTTTGGTGACCAGTTCTCCGCTTTTCTCCTTCACTCATTTTTGTAAAAATTTCCCACAAATGTTCCATAATGAGCGAGTCCAGCAGGGACTGGCCTGGTGTAGAGCTAATGCAAAAGCAGAGGCAGTAAACATTGCTTTGTTCATTTTTAACATATAGCAGATAATCTCAAATAAGAGCAATCATTAAAGTGTTTGGGTCTTTTGGGCGGGGAGGGGCGCATTGTATCAGAAAAAAAAATTAAATCACCAAGGTTTCAAAATGCCAGAATAGTGCTGCTTTGGAAAATACTGGCAAATTGCCATATATCTTGGTATGACGTTTGGACAGTGTTATGGTAAGAAAAAATTAGATATCACCCAAACCTAATCTTAACCCAGGTCACTGTTGCCGTCCTTGCAATATGACAATTGCATGTGTTTAACATGCAATGTCGATATTAACACTGCGCACCATGCAGATCTACTTCAAACAATATAGGTACATTAGCTTCTTTAAGATGAAGAGCGTTCATTAAACCTCCAGATAGCTTGGAGATCAGTAGATACTGTCTGCACAGAGAACACCAAAGGATTAATACAACAACAAATTCAGGGTAAGCACCACTTTGGGACCAGTGTGACTATATTGGGACTCCCTATATATTGTTCCTGGGTTATAATGCGACCATGTTGGGACCCTGTATCTATTGGCCCAGAGTAAGAGTGTATCTATGTTGGGACTCCCTATGTATTGGTCCTGGGTTAAAATGTGACTATTTTGGGACTCTGTATCTAATGGCCCAGAGTCAGTGTGACTATGTTGGGACTCCCTATGTATTGGTCCACTCTCATAATGTGCCTATGTTTGGATCTTGCTTACAGTACATTAGACACAACACTAAACATGCTGAAGGACACCTGACTTTGAGAGCTTGGATATTAAAAGCAGGGTTAAGTGAAGATACGTCTGCATCTACATGCTGTCTTCAGGCAGGACCCTGAAATGAATTTTCACCAGTCACAGCCCAGAAGCCAGTGATGTCTATGCCTAACCATCAACTAGGTTCAGTTTACCTAACAGAGGTGTGACCATGAACATCAGCCTCTGTTGTGGAATCATTTTAGGAAACCAAGCCAAATGCAACGTGAGGCCTTCTGCGAAAAGAAAAGTTGGGATCTATAAGGAATCTATATTGCAATTTCAGAAGACTTACAGAAGACAGGCCTGCAAAGCAGATGCATTCCTTGGAACTGAACCAGGAGTGTTTCAAGTGAATAGACAATTAGCTGGTAGTATATGCATTGCTATCTTGCAATCACAAAAAAAATGGCTCACAATCTTTTGCTGATCTAAATCACTCAGTGACTCACCTGCAGGATATCACCATGACAAAGTCTGTCTTAGAAAACATAAGCTACTGACAGCCTGTCGATGAAACATGATCAAGATGGGTTCAACTGGGACACTACAAGTCCCTATTTATTGTTTTACAAATTAAAGTCATTTAACATATCTGAACTAAAGCGAACGTGACAAAACAATGAAGGTTTAATTGTGCGCTATAAAACAGTAGCACTAGTGTCACAGAACTCCACCAAGAATATGTCCTCTGGATGGGACAGTAATGGCCTTGGTCAAATGAGTTCGACAACAGGAAGACACTTTCCTACAATAAACTCAGGCAAGGGTCACGTGTACAAAGCAAATAACTACTGTACAACAGTAATCGCAAAAATTAATTAAAAAAATAAAATAAACAAACAGAATGATAGGAACATAGGGGAGAAAGACTGTGGAATGAATACACTTCACATACATATGTGTACATACAAAAAGCCTATGACTTACGGGGAAGCATTTATACTAACACAATTGGGAAAAGAGCAAAGGAGTCCACAGGGACAATGTGCATGGTTTAATGTGATTGGTCCTACTGTCTGAGGTGATGATGGCCTCCTGACACCGGAGACGGGCCCATTAGAAACCCAGACGCCTGGCATCCTATCGAGGCACCAGCTACTTGAGTGGCTTTCATATCTATGGCACCACGGAAATGAGGTATTTTTAGAGGTAGCTGGGGAGACGACGGGGCGTAAAAACATCTCTGTAAGTAACCTGAGCATATATTATGCCAAAATATTTGTTTTTTTTATTTCTGCATTTAAGACAAATACACCAAAATACACAACATCACCTCTTATAGACCTGAATTGAAGTCGTCACAATGTGCATTTCCGCATGAAAATATTTTTTTGGTCCAGCAAACTTGAAAATATACGATGAATCTCATTTATGGCAACGCAGACATGAAAGATGAAAGATCCAAGAAGGAAGTATGTCACAGAATCGAAGGCTCACTCTCGCTACAAGGTTTGCAGAGTTGCTTCCTGTGACTGTACCTTGTTCTGTTATGGTATTTGATCCAATGAAACAGAGCTGTTATCTTGTCTGAAAAGGTGAGGAGGGCCATCAAAGCCACAAAGCTTTCACTCATCTCTGGCTGACCTTATCTAAATCTAAAAATGCTTAATATATTTCACTTGTTATCTTAAGTCTGCCCTCACGTGTTCAGCAGACAAAAGCTGATTCCAGGTTACTGCAAGGTGGCCTTAGTTTGGTGAAATTTCATTACAGTATTAGATGACAAGCAGATCCCCCTGAAAGCTGGTGGTTTAGAACCTAACATGCTTAACTAAGACCTAAACAAGGCAGCTGCAACCAATCATGGTTTTATAACACTAATTAATGCAAACCTCTACATTTTTTAGGGGACTTTTAAAAAAAGCTGGGCAGAAATACAATAGGTAGGATTTCACACAAGTGAGCTACAATGAACGAAGTGACATTCAGCCTTGCAGCCTGCATTTGTTTACTTTGCTTTGACCCTAAAAATACACAACCTCCGTCCATGTCACTCAGCTGGATGACCGGCTAAAGATAACATGGCAGTTCACCATGGCAACGGAACTGGAGCCGGCACCGGCTCTAAAATTACAATGTGTTTAAGTGCATGTATCAAGTTTAATCGAAATATCTCCTGATGAGGAGGTAAAAAAAAAAAAAAAAAAAAACACATGTTCTGGGCAGCGGTGATCAAGCGGCCATAACCACAGGGAGGCTGTAACCACGGTCGCGGCTGAAATTAGCATCAGCACGGTGTCTTCACTTCCAGAGCGCAAAACCACGATTCATGCGCAGAGCAGCCCTTGGACACTGGCAGCCTCAATTGCTTTCGTAATCGCTTCCGCATGTTGTGCAAACGAAAGTATTTACATGCAATATATTTTTAAATGAACAGTGCAAGACAGGACAAAAGCGGATGTAATCCCCTTTCAAAGTTACATATAAGGGCATCAACAACCAAGAATGAGTGGAATGCTCCAATAACCAATAGAAGTTACCGCCGTCTTGGAAAAACCAATCCGGGCATGTTGGGGAGTTATTTTTAACCAAGACAGTGCCACACTGCAGTTACAGGGCAGAGTGTGTAGAGCGGGCAGCCTGGCTACCTGGATGGAGGAGGAGCCAGCACATTAAGTGTGTGTCTACTGCAGGCGGGGCGGCATACTCACGCTGAGCGGCCCTCAACATCCAGCTTGGTGGGGATGATGCCCTTCTTGCTGAGCACGGCGGCCACCTTGTCAACCTCACTCCGTTCCACTGCTTTCATCAACCGGTCATCATACTTGTTCCAGTCCGTGTTCTGGGATAGTGGACATATGCCGTCATGGGGAAACAAGAGGACAAAGCCGGTAAAACTTCCCTAAGTTTTCATGGGTTCTCCCCACATGCACATACACTTGCGCACACACCCAGTGGAATGCTACCAAGAACAATCATGCTATAAGGTACTCCAAATATGCGTTTTCTACACAAATCGCAAAGACAAATCAGCAAGCACACCTGCCAATCAGTTTATTCATAAAAGTACAACTGTTGCACATTTCCATCAACTACAAGGACTAAGTGTTCTCTAGTTTATCAATCAGCTTGGATGTTTCCCAGTGCTCTCAAATACGCAGGAAGGCAAGAGCCAATCTCGGAATGGTAAAAACCATAGCATGTGGGGAACCAATCCCATTTACAAGCAGGAACATGTAAGTGGAGCTGCGAGGCACAGAAAATGTCATGCAGTAAAACCGGCAGAACACCAACAAATAGAACTACAACAACAACAACAACAACGACAACGACAACGACGACGAGCAAACTTTCTTCCTGGGTCTCTGCTCGTCCCCCACAGTTCATCTGGGCCCCCAAAACAGGATTACCCACCCGGCATCACAGAGAAATTCGCTCGTCAGCGGTATACCTACAAAGTACATAGAGGTGCATTTAAGCCATCTGCTCATGTTGGCGGAGAGGCCGTTCGTTCAGCCGGGAGCGGGACAGTCTGCCAAAGAGCTCCCTGCCAGTGTGGGCTGCCGAGGCACTGCCCCGAGCTGGCTCAAAAGGTTCCTGCCGGGGAGCGTGTGGCGGCACCCGTCCGGCTTGCAGAGGTGCGTCGTGCGCGTGCTCCTGGGCTTGCCGCCGCTGCTGTCTGCGGCTGCATAGCAGCTCCGCCGGCTGTCCTGAGGCGGGAGGAGAGCACTGGGACGGCTCCTCCTGTGGGCTGAGCCTCTGTGCCGAAAGCCCGAGTCTCACTCACACCCCCCTCTCTCTCTCGCCCGCTCGCCCGCCCGCTCGCTCTTGGAGGCAGCACCGGGGCTCCTCTCTGCTCACCGAATGACACACCTGGCCCACCTCGCTCTGTAAATACGCACGCCCACCCAGCTCCCACATATCCCAGACAACACCGCGCAGGCGGCCCCCTGCACTGCTGCTCACCTCTATTTTTTGACCCTCCCCACCTTCCAGATGACTGATTGGAAAACAGGTCTAATAATACTCCCCACCCCAGCATACCCTGACCATGAGTAACGGCATGTCAGCAGCACCCGGCACCAAAACAAACCTTGCGAGTGCTGGTATGCGCCCGGCACCTAGAAATATTCACCTAGTGGGATTAAGGTGTCGCATTTTAGCCCCCTCCTCCGTTCAGGCCAGGTCAGAGCGGCTGCTAAAGTGAGCAAGGCGCACATGTGAGAATCCCACAGTGCACGGTAGCCTGATTGGGTGTCAGCTTTTACAACCAGCTGTCTGAGACTGCAATCTGCCCCCCCCCCCCCATCCCCACAACAAGCACAACACACGAGACGAGAGATCTATTTATGAAGAAAGACGTCATTTTTTTTGGAGTGAAGCACAGAGAGAAAAGGGAGAGCTGAGGAACATGAGGGGGTGGGGGACGTTTAATTTACACAGCCTGCGTCAGCAAGGTGTCATTTTGCGGCTGCAGCCGTTAGCCGGCTGGGGATACTGCACAAACACGTGAAAGGACTTTCCACATGACATGTAATATGCAGGACTGAAGGCCCCACTCCTAAACTGCTCTATCCCATAGAAACAATGAGGCAGAAAAGGCATTGCTTTAAATAGTCCTCAGCATCCTGCCGCATGCATTATTAATCACGCCAACATATCCTTCACGGGCTTAATAGTTTAAACGCACAGGACCTTGCAACCGGCTCTCTACAGCATCCTAAGCCATCATGGCGGACACTCTTCCAAGCTACGCCTGATGCACATTGTTTGTTTCTTTGCTCCAAGTCAAGCCCGAGCCAGCATTTGTTGATATTAAGTTCTATGACGTGATGCTATGGTTCATCATACCAGCCAGCTTGCCGAAAACAACCCCCCTTGTCCCACCCGCCAGGTCACAGGGCCATATTCCTGATGGATGAAATCACTGCCTCCTGATGAACTTCACGGCTTTGCAGAGGTGGTGACCCGAAATGATGTCAGCGAGCTTAGAAGGCGCTGGCTCGCGAGGTCAGGCTGCTTCCCCATGCCAGACAGTGGTGCGGTGCCAGATGGTGTGAGTTACATTCACGACCACCCAGGGGGCACAAGAGAGCCAGTCAGCAACTGCGTGGAACAACAGAAGCTAATGAACTACCTTAATGAACGTTTGTCCATTTATTCTTCCTCAGGAATCATCGCAAGGGTATGCTCTCAACAACTCTGCAAGTCTGACTTAAATTCCTGGCTATTCTCTGCACCAAGCAACACCTGTATTTGATAAATCTCAGCTATTACTCAAACAAGCTGATCAAAGAGCTCAGGGTACTAACACCACGGTCACCATACTCTCGACAACAATGTCAAAAAAAGAGAAAATTCCAACAAAGAAACTGCTTATTAAAAATTTATCACAGACAGAGAAACACCTCTTAAAACTGGACATTTCACGTAAGCAGGAACACAGGCCCCTGGTGGGGAAAAAGGGGGCTGCAACTCGAGCCAAAGCCAACACCAGGATGAAAAGCAGGAACTTTGAATGTGGCTCCAGGGACGGCTGAGGGACACTAAGCAGCTTAGAATGCAGAGAATCCCCCCTGCAGCTTGAGAGGTTGTAGCAGCTGACAATTTGCACCAGCAGTGATTCTACGGCCTTCATATTATACATTAATGCACTGAGCGGTGGTTACAGTTTGGAGAGGAAGCATAAACTGCGATTAGGAGCTCAGTATGCTGTAATCTGCAGCCCACTCGCAGGTCGAGTGGCACCCGAGCAGGAACGGCTGGAGGCCGATGACCGTCTGTCCATATGGCACTGGCAATTGAGACTTTAATTAGAGGGGACCCACCCCCACAGAGCCCCATGCTGCCCAGACCAAAAGCACATAGGCTGCAGGTTCTGGCTAAAGATGATGGGGCTCACAGCAGATAGCCAACGCCACAGCCATCCAAGATGACGCCCCCGGCGAGTTAAACCTTAGAGGCTAGGTGATTCATACAGACTGCACTCCTGGGAATAATCATGCTTATCTCGAGGGTTATATTTAAAAAAGCAAACACTTTTGGAATGTGGGACAAAATAAAACTATACACCAGAAACAGACCCATTACTCAACAGCTAATTGGCTATTTTACAGAATCATGACCCAAAGGGTGAAACGTAAGAATGAAGACAAACCTGAAACCTGAGGCAACTAAAGCTTTCTCAGAACAACAGAATGATCTCCACCCAGAATTCAGCTGCTGTCAGTTTAAAGTCGAAATGTACACCTATTCAGGTTTACCAGAAACAAATGCTCTGTGACGTCCTGGAGGGAGTTCCAGAGCATACAGGAAGACGCAAGTGCCTGTATGTCTCTGCAGCATCCCAACAGAGTGCCAAAGTTAGCCAACAGCCTTCAGCTAACCCTGTAAGTAAGATGGTGACCCCACTGCACTCTGCGTTTCCGACAGATGACTGGGGTCAGCAAGTTGCTGACCCTGCAGATGCCAGCCATCAGACGCATCACATAGATATGCTAAAATGAATGTCAAGTATTTAGACCTCGATAATCAATCTCTGATCAGGGGGCCTGTAGCCTACCCCAGGCAGCACATGGTACAAGGCAGGGGTCCACCTTAGATAGGAAGCCAGGGCACTGCAGGATACACACAAGTAGACACCCAGTTATACATTATAGGCAATTCAGTGATGCACCAATTAGCTTAACTACACATCTTGTGACTGTAGGAGGAAATTGGTGTGAATGAGGGAGAGCATGCAAACTCCACATAAAGAGCGGAGGCGAGATTCAGGGCCAGTGTTACCCAGTGAGCCACCGTGCTGTTTTCAAGTGCATCCGAGTACAGCCTGTTCTCTGTAAGAATAGGCATGAGGGAGGCCTAATAATTCTCTATGCGAGTCTGTCTAACAAGCAGTGTGTTGCATGCATATACATATAAATACACACATATAAATACACAGAATAATTTGGCATTATTATTTCAGTGAGTAGTGGTGAAATGGACCTTGATTTATCATCTGTATTCCCATAACTACCCAGCTTCTTACTAGAATCAAAAAAGGCAGAAATAAATATTCAACCAACTATAAGCAAGTAACAGAGGTAAGACATCTATCCAAGAGTGGAGCCATTACTGAACTCGGGCATTGCTGTGTTTTAATACCTAAGCAGCAGTCTCCAAGGAAAATGGTAACTCATTAACTACTGCAACACACAACAAAAGGATTTATATGCAGCCGCCTGTGTTTCTATGTATGTCTATGGCAGTTATAATGGAATGTTAACCAATACAAAGCAATAAAAATGTGGTGAAATCTGGCGGCTTATCCAACATCCTGGAACAACAGTACAACTTACACACTTTGCCCCATAATGGTTACTACAGAAAAGAAAAACACCAGCTCTAAAAAAATAAAATACAAATCAAGGGATCGCCAGCACCTTCCTTGGACAGACACCAACAAATGCGTATTACCATGCAACAATGATCACACCTGGAGAAAAGCAACATCCCCAGTTTCAAGCACGGGAGTGACGTTTTCACCTTTCCAGCACTATGAAAGTGCATGCCTCTGTCTTTACACTAAGCAGTGGATTTCACACCAATGGTGCTTTTCTGCTGGCATGCAGGAACCGAACCGTACCTAAGCCTACTGCAAAGAAAGACTAATTGCAGTGCAGGTCCAACTCGCTTCGTGTTTTCCCACTACAGATAATCCATGTGCAGAACACCGGTATCTCTGTGCATTTTGACCAATCAGATGGTGGTGATGCAACCAGCTCGGTTTGGTCATGCTTTCAGTCCTGCTAGTAAGCAAGGCCATGTCAGTGCGGGTATGGCTATGGTATAGCTCGCCTACTTTACAGTGGAAAACCTCCAGTTCGCAGTACAACTCGGGTACAACCCGGTTCTTAGTGGCAGTGGAAAAGCACCACACCTCAGAAGCACTACTGACTCAGGCCCTTTGGCTAAATCCTGATAAACCAAGACTGTCAGGCTGAAAAATTAAATTGATCTTTCTAGGAATTATTTTGCAGAATTCCTCAGATGCTTGGGAACAATTGTTTTCAGCCAAGAAGTCCCCTTACCCCACCACCATCACCACCTTCCACCATTTCTTCATGTTGTTTTTGGATCCGAATAATGGAACAAAAACAAAATGAAACATTAAACTTCACTACACAGAGTAACAAGACTGCAGACCAAAATAATAAAAAGGCCAAAGTCTGGCCCAGCAGCACTTTTTCTTCCGTGGTGAACATGCTGATTCTGTACAGTCCCTGGGACAACTATACTGGACCCTCTACCAGAAGCAGAACAGCCTGGAGAGCCAGAATTAAAGGACATACATGCCTTCTACAGTCCCGCCTCCCACCGGCAGCTGCTCATCAATGTGGCCCTCAGCAGCGTGTGGCTCAGTGGGCTAAGCCTGTGTGCTTGTAATCACAAGGTCGCCGGTTCAAACCCAGTCTCAGCATGTCTATGGGTCCTTGAGCAAGGCCCTTAACCCCCAGCTCCCTGGGCGCCGCTACGGGTGGCAACCCTTTGAGGACAGCTAGCTCTACAAAGAGCAAGTTGAGGGAGGCGTAAAGATCATTTCGCCATGGGGATTAATAAAGTGATTATTATTATTATTATTGTTGTTGTTGTTGTTGTTGTTGTTGTTGTTGTTAAGTGGCTGCCGCAAGACTACCTGCCTGTGGACAAAGCAGCGTGGCCTCAGTCAGCACAGGGTCCTGGCACCAGTAATAGCACCAAGATGCAGCCATAAAAGGAGGCAGGATGTAACACAATGGCTGTGACTACACCTAAATCTTCACCCACATTTAACAATGGCCAGACCCCTGTCAATCACTATAGTAACCAAGTAATGATAGAGAGAAAGCTACAATTCCCACAGAAAAGGAATATCACTCTGCACTTTGAATACGACTTCTACCTGAAAATACAAAACCTGTTTAACCAGTTCATGTGGGTGGGCAAGAATCAGACCAA